CTAGCATGCTAGAAACATTCTTACCTTGTATTCACTTATTTATCTCTGGTAAGGGAAAGACAGGGAAATTAATGACACCTGCAGTAGTTTTATCCATGGGAATGATATAAGTACTATGTTGTAAGTTTGATTTAGCATTCAACTTTGACAGCTGCTTGCCCAGTCAATCATAGATCTAAAATCTATGACCTCTGACCAGCTGTAATAGGATGAATCTACAAAATGTTTGCCACTTTCATGCATCAGTGATCTTCTCTTTTAAACTTCTGTTTCTTGGGATCACTGTTGTGTATAACGTGCAATATGTAGCCTTGGACGAATGACAAGTTCAAGGCCCACTGTCCCATGATTTTCATCTTACTTACAAGAAAAATACCTTATCTTAGTCGAAGGAAATTGTTGATTTCTAACCTTGCTAATTTGTAGGATATTTTATCTTGAGACCATAATGTTATGATTTGTGAAACAGCTATTTTAGATCAAATCTAAAGGATTTTGCAGTGTTTATTGTATTTCTTTTTGTGAGAGCTACAAATCTGTAATCCATCCAAAGTACACTCAGTCTTAAATATTGACAGAAAAATTTCCAGAAACACGCTCCCCTAAAGAGTGCCTCCACAGCCAAGCGTTCCCACTGTTACACACTATCAGACAAAAAAAAGAGGACAGTGCCCAAGTGGGAAAAAATCCATTCTTTAAGGGCGTTTCTTTGGAGAAGGGGTTCTACGCTTATATAGTGGCTAAAGTTGAGAGTCCTAGTCCATGACTGCAACTACTTGATACTACCATAGGACAACTAAAAACAATAAATGTAACAGCAATATGCACAAACATTTTAAATTTTCAAGAGTCCGGGTAATAGTTTATCAAAGTTAGAGCAATAAGGTAAGGTGGAAGTTGTTCCACTGACAAGCTGGGCAATGCCCCATTTTAATGTGCTAGCATCCAACTTTACAGCTGAGTTTCTTCTTCGTGTTTGTCAGCTCATTTGTTTCAGCAACGACTTAGCATGCAGTAGAATAAATCATTTTAAGCAAAATTTTCAATACCATAGTTCAAGGGACATCTGGCATCACACAATTCCGCTTACCAATGTAAGAGTATTTAAATGGGTTGAATTTGAATTGAATAATGAACAAAAATAAATGATGCTGTATTCTGCTACAGTTACCCACAAGACGTGATATCTTGACATTGCAATGGCAGCATTTGGTTGTTTGGTCCTATCTTATGGGCACTTAAAAATCTGAGGCCATATTTCAAAATTTAGTTTTGCAGGTAATCCTCTGAAGCACTACTACTGTTCTTGTTCAATGGGAGCACACAAAGACATTGTATCTATCTATCTATCTGGAAAATATATTTCCATATTATACCTTACGGGTTCTTTTGTTTTAACTACTTCGGTTTTATGTTGCTTTAGAATATCTTTGATAGCTGAGTTCCTTGTACTTGTACAGTGGGTTTTGGTTTTTAACTTCCCTAAACTTGTAATAATGTTAGATGACTTATTCAAGCTTCTGTTTTAATTTTACATAAATCAAATGTATTGTGCAAGTGATCTGGACTAAAAAGATGGTGAACACCTACCAGTGATTCCTTCATACATGCTGAGATATAAAAGTACTTTTCCTTGGATGAGCATCCCATTACTAGGAGAGTCTAAACAGATCATTGGTGTGAATGACAATCTCATCCTTAGACTTCTCCCCCCCTACCCACTGTGTCATCATCATAAGAAACAAGAGGCTTTTAGTCCTTGATTTGTAATAATTAACCCTTTTGCAGCAGAGAACAGCTGGGCTCTCTGTTCTGTTCATTCCAAGTTTCCATCTTGATTTGGGGCAGCTGCTGAGTTATTCCAGTTCTCGTTTATGGAAACCTTCCTTCCTACCGGTGTGCACTGCTTTGCTGCTCTGCTTGTATATATTAGGATAAGGCTGTTCAGCGAATTCACAGTGTTTCTTTTACTTTCCTTAAGGTGTAAAAATGAAGCAGTAGCTTGGTTTATTTTTTGCTGATAACTCCTTTGGTCTATTAGTCTTGGATAATTTCTAAAGTTCTATTTCTTCTTAGCAATCCAGATGTGTTTGTCATGCATGCTCTGTAACACTCCATTATCACTCTCTTCCTAGATCAAAGAGACATTAAGGAGAGATCGGTTCGCATTACATATTCTTATTAAACTGGATCATTACGTACACAGCCTTAATTTGCAATGTGTAGTGGATATGCATGTTGTATGTTTTAGGCAAATCCTGGAGACCATTCTCAGGGAAAATTCTCACTGACGTCAATATAAGTTTTTTCCTAGTTAAAATTTCATGATTTGGCTCTTTGTTTTCAGGATGGGAATTATCATTTTCTACTCTGAGCCCTCATTTGGCCTCAAAATACCTTGGCTCACATGGTTTTCAATAAGTGTCTGGCAGCTGTACTGGCAAACTTCCAACATTGTGGGATTCATATTTATCCCTACATGGACATTTGGCCTTCTTCAAGTCATCACAACTATTTCTAGCTTATTGTCCTAAGTGAAGAACTCTTCCCATTTTCAGACAAAGAATTGATTCTGAACCACACTCTTTTCACAGCAGAGTGGAATCGTTCCCTCACATCCATACATATATGATCAGAATCAAGTATGTCTAAATCTGTATTGTAAAGAAGTGTTTCATGTAATATACTCATACAAGGAATATATAGATAAATGCATTCCAGGAGGTGCTGTGGTCTGTTCAGTCCAGGGTCAGATGGCTTGGCAGATTCAGTGAAGACAGATAAACGAATTTTACAATCCAGATATAGGTGTATGAAATGTAGTTAAAAGGACATTGAAATATCTTACTAGGAAAACTAAACATAACTTGACCAAATTTGAACAGAATATGCACTCAGAGCAAAACTGTCAATAGCAAAAAAGTGAGTTACAGTACAGTATTTTTCTTGGCATTTTATTTTCTCACCCTGTTTCCTTTCAAGCCAATTTTCAAAAGTTGCTCTGACCTCTGGCAGCTGCCCCTGGTGTCCTAGAATGCTTTACATAGCAGAAAATAAGAAAAAAGGAAGAAAGCCAATTCAGCTCTGCAGGTGCTCCCATAGTGTGAACAGATCTCCTCTGTTTCTTACGGCTTCATTTATCTCATTTCCCTGCTTTCATCAAGCTGTGTCCTCTCATGTAGCCATCCATGCCTGGTGCCTTCATCCTTCCTTCGTTTAAGTCTAAAGATGTTTCTTCCATCTGACCTCTGAACTTCTAAGGAAGTGTGATACAAATTAATGCAAATGAACAAGCTAGTGAAAACTTACAAAATATCATGATATTTTTGACCACAGCATCTTTAAATGCTTATTGTTGTGTCTTTGTCTTTCCTTTCCCCATCCTGCTCACCACCATTTTTGTTGCTAATGAACTTTAGTAATGTCAGAGGTTACCTGTGCCTTGTTATTTCTTGGAGTTCTACATACACTCATGGCACTTTGTAAGTAATAACAGTGACCCTTGTGACAAGAAGTGCTATAGCGATTCCTGAACTTCATTCATTGTGGTATTGATTTTTATGTGAGGCATAAGTAATGTAAAGATCTCTGTGATGCAAAGACTGTCACACTTGCACCCTTAGAACATGTTTTATTAATTTGAAGCATATGTTCTAATTATAGTAAGGATGGATGGTATGATCAATGCCGTAGGAATAGCCTTTTTGTGGGAGGCATCAAATCCAAATTCCAGGCTCTGAATGAATTCAGAACTTGGCGGAAATGAGGAGATACAAGACATTTGTCTTTTTTATGAGCTGCTCTCTTTAAAATCCTAGTAAGTTTATGCTACCACACTTAATTTATGCTCTAATTTGAAAAAGAAAAATATAATTTGCAAGGAAACCTTGAGAGGTTATTGATAGGGGAAACTGGGCCAGACCCGACAGCACAAGAGAGGTGAGGCAGGTGCAGCTCCGCGCCCCCAGCTCCAATCTGTAGTGAGGCTAAGCGTGAATTCCCAGTGGATAAATGTACGCAGAGCACACATATACACCACGTATGTGCCTATATACATGGCCAGCCACAGAGATCACCCAGACAGACACACCCAGCAGGCACACAAACACGGACAGCACAACAGCCTTACCCTGCTCCTCTCCCTGGCTGAGCAGGATGGAGGTCTACTAGTGAGCGTATATATATATGCACATATGTACAATGGGGGTCCTCCCAGCACCTGGGCACACTCAATCTGCCCAGTAGCTGTCCCTGGGCGCCAGACTCCCCAGCTGCTGGCACCCAGGGCTACAAGTCCACATTGCTACAGTCCCTCTCCAGTTGCTTGCCCACGTGTACACCCCGCTCCCCCAGGGCTGCCTGGGACTCCCTTGGTCCCCCAACTCGCCCTGGTCTTGACCTTGAAGACACACACACATGCGCACACTCCAGTGGGTTGCACTCCTAGAGACCCCCAGACCCTGTGGTCTCTCTCGCAGTTGGCTGGGACTCCCCGGGTCTCTCTGATAGCCAAATCCACCATGTTCTCACCCTTAAAGACTCACACCTCCCTGGCTCCCAGGCATTTCACCCACTTGCCAGCTACTCCAGCTTGGTCACCACTAGCGCTTTCATGTTCAATCTGACACCTGCACTTGCTCCAGTTGCTGGTGGTCAGAACCCCATACAGACCAGCAAACTACTTACATGTGACCAGACCTTTTTAGCCCCTTATATATCCCTCTATTTTTCCACAGTTGTTGCTCCTCAAGTGGAGGATCCCTCCCTTCCCCACCTTTGGTTTCACCCCTAGGCATCCCATAATAAGTCCTGTGCTTTTTTTTCCCTGCATTCCATAATGCATCCCATACCTCTAGGCAGTGATCCTTCTAGTCCGAAAGGTGCTGTGGTGTTGAATCATCTTGATGGCTTGGATCACGAATAATGACCAGAACTTTTTTATTATTATTTTTTTCTTAACCATAATCACACATTTGGTTGGGTTTTTTTTCCTTTTTCAGGAGCATCCCAGACCAGAGTATGAAAACAAACTGCTGCAGAAAAAGCTGAAAAATAAAAACATCACAACAGAAAATTCAAATGAAGTAAGATACAACTTACTCTTTTCACTTACGTTGGGTTCAGGTTTCGTTATATTGTGATTATCTTTTTGTCTGTCTCTGATGGATAGTTTGCAAAAGGCACCTTCTGATGCCCTTAATCAGCCTTGGAAGTTGCTTGCCAGGGGTCTGGTGTTGTGCAGCCCTGCAGTGCCATTGAAAGGCTTTGAGGTCGTCACTTTCCTAGCTCTGCGGAGTAAAGTAATTTGCATAGGAATATGGTCGACAGGTGGTTCAGGATCTAATCTACAGAGTGACGAATGATTAGTAAGATAATCCCTGCAGGAATTCTTATAGCAATGACCTAGAATTTCAATACTTTGTGGACAATAAAGAAAACAGCTTTTATTATAGTGATTTCATTTGCATAGGTAACATTGGTATCTTTAGTCATGTTGTAGTTACACAACTGTGAAGTTTTGATAGCATTGCCGGTATAAATGGAAAAATAATAATTGGTAAATCATTTTAAGATTGAAGTGTGTTTAGGCTTTCTATGACTATTTCAAATCTAAGAGCAAGCACTTTTTTTTCCTAATCCCCTCCTGTTAAATGCTGATTGAGATCTATTTCCTAAGCACTCTTAAGTCCCTGTAGACTTTGTCCGTTGGGCTTGGTTAACCATTGCTTGTTCCCTGCATGCCACATGCACCAGCAAAGCGAAAGCATTCCAAAAACTTGTCCAGTTTTCAGGTAGAAGGAAACAATTTAATTTGTTTAAACATTGAGAACCAGTGTTTGAAGTGGAGGACATTCCAGTTTTCAGGTTTAGTCCAACAGATTTATCCCTGCAGCTTATGAAAGCACTTAACTATCTCTTTCTTTGTCACGATTGTGAGATGTTTCCAGTGAATCTTGCATCTCAGTGAGACTGCCTTTCGCCTGTTGGGCCCACCCAGACTCCACAGAAGACAATGGAAAGATTCTCAATTACTTTAATGGGCTTTGGATCTTGCCCAATATGAGCAGGGACTCTCACATAGCAGCATGGAGAGGTCTTCCCTTACACATTGAACAATTTTCTAGACCTTCCAAGTGAGGGATCAAAGACTGTAAAAGACGGATAAAGCAGCTGCTGCTGTTCAGCTTTTTCTGACTTAAAGTAAGTGAAATCTGGAAACAAGTCAGTGATTGGTGCTGTACAATATTAGACTTTTGTAGCCATGAGACAGTGTTCAATGATTATCTTGCTTAAATGAGTCACAGAAATCACAGCATTATAAATTAGAAATTAATTTAAGGTAAAAGAAAGCAATGAAAAATGTTAAGAACGTAGGCGGAGAATCAGCAGCAATGTAAAGATCCAGCACTATAAAAATGGGAAGAACTGCTTTCAGACATTAAGAAGGGAAAGGCTTTCCTGGAATATTTTTTCTCCAATTACTTTTTGTGCTGATTTGGATGGAAAAATAGCACTCAGAAAGAAAATATTTGCTTTAAGGTTTTGGGGCATCTGTACACAGACGTCCTCCAATGTCCTTATGGGAGACAAAATCCTGTTTTGGAAATTGATGTAGGCATTTTGAACTGCAAAACTCCTGATTTTTAGTAATATTTAATTCTGAAGTAATTTTGAAAAAAAGAAATTTTAGTTCATTGAGTCATTTGCATATTTTCTGGAGAAGTTTCCCAGAATCATCTCAATCTCTTTTCCAGACTTCATTAAAAACGAAAATACTTTGACATTTGCCATCAAACAGTTACTTGTGTGGCAGAACATTTCATTTGAGTTGATTAAGGTAAATTTCTAATAAATGCATTCATCCTGCAACTCACTGACTACCATCTCTCCCCAAATTACTGGAATATATTCCAAAGTTCTGGGCAGTTTTCCGTCAGTCAACATTTTGCTTACTAATTCTGTTGCAATCACTTTTTTGAGTTACCTCAAATTCTTTCCAGCAAACAGCACATTAGGCTGGGTTTGGAAGGTGCGTTGCTCGGTGGTTTGTACCTCAATGTCTTATGATGTTATAAGGGCAAGAAATGTTTGTGTGAGACCTGCTGAAGAGGGAAAAGGCCAGTTCTTGAATTAAACTGCTACGTTTAATGTAACTGTGGAAATATACCATTACATTTTGCTTTGGAAGATCCTGAAAAGTTAGACATTAAAAGTGATGAGTGTTTAAGACTGCAGTAGTTCTTCTGCCTAATTTTTAGGGGTTTTAATATTTTCTTTTTCCTCCTTCAGGTGTCTGTATGTTATACTCATTGCAAGACTATCAGCTCAGGAGGTTTTGCATGGCAGGTTAATATTAAGGCCCAGGTTTCTGTGAGGTCTCTGACTCAGTACTTCTGTCTCGTTGGGTGGAAGCCAGGGTACAGGACTTTGTCATATTAATAGTGCAGATCTAGCGTCTGGACAGGCATCAAAGTAGAAATCTCTCTGTAGTTAAAGATTCAGTCCTCCTAATTTCTTGGTTTTGTATGAATACACAGATGCCTGTGAGGTCTCAGTCTCATCATATCTTGGTTGACAGTCTAATGTCATGGCATAAGTCTCTGTGAAGTTCTCGCCTGAATATTTTTAGCTAACTAGTGTAATTTAAAGGCATATCTTTTGGGGGTAGCTGGTCAACAACTGTAGTGTGCTGTGTTGATATCAAAGGACAGGCTCTGGCACCACTGCCTAAAACTCCTCATTACTTATCTAATATGAAGTCAGAAGTCTCCAGTTCAGCAGCTGTGGCTTGTGGGGACAGAAATGATGCCAAAGCTGTGGCTATTGTGAGAATACTGATTTAGAGCTTACTTAAAGGCCTATATTTCTATAAAACTACTGGCTTGTTTCCAGTACGTTAATTCCTCTGTTCCGGTGAGGATGTGACTAGTTTTATGGCAAGAAACTGAGCTTTTATGTGGAAAGCTCTGTCTACGGCGCAATTGTTTTTCTTGCCTTACTCCAACAAGGAGTCCCTGAGAAGCTAATTGGGTTATTTTTGCAATGAAGGGTTAGGGGTTTGGTTATGGGCTGGTTTTGTGATTGCAGAAGAAAATTGACACCACTTACATACTCTCTGAAATGATAACTTGGGAATACCTGTTAAGAGGAAATCAACATACAGTTTTCTCTGTCCGCTGTTGAAGTCATTAACTTTAATGAGTGTGGAAGATGCCCAGCACCTGTCAGGGCCAGTAAACATATGAGTCACTTTATCCAGGCAACAAATTCCAAATCAGCTTGATGAGACTGGCAATAGAAAACACTACAGATCTAATGTATTACTTGCCCAATGGGGTTTGTGTTATAGAATACAGCTTTCATACAAATACTACTTAGGATATTTATGCTACTGTAATAAGCAAAGAACAAAATTTCAGCCTATACCACCCTGTGTGGTTCAGGCTGTTTTAATAAATATTTTATTGGTTATTTTGAGAGTGGGAAAGAAAATGTGAGAGCTCAGAGCAGGTCACAAAAGATTGGTGTGAAGTTACTCTTACAATAATACCCTAAGGTTCTACTGTTTCAGAAGATAATTTGTTTAAAGCTAAAAGAGTTGAAATATTTACATGAAATGCCTCAGGTTAGGTAGCAAATGCATAAACAGACAATCCTTATGAATTACGACATTAAATTAAAAAAATGGCAAGTTCTAAGGGACTGATTCTGGAAACCTGCAATGATCTGGCTTGTAATCAGTAGGACCATTTGATTCTTTATGGTCACATAAATAAAGGCTTGCCATGTAGAGCTTCTTGATTCATGTATGTTAAAAGGCTTTGTCCTTGCAGCAGAGATGAAGGCTTAATGTGTGCATGCATGAATGCATGTGTCTGATAATACGTTCATGCAAATATGACAGATGGGATTTTCGTAATGAAGCAATTCATATTATTTTTTGTTGTTCTTATTTAGTATACTGTAACATCGGAGATGTGGACAGAAATATTTAACAATTAGGGTAAAGTTACTGTATCTGCAGAATGTTAACTAAAAAAGGTGTTGGATATTTGTAATCTTTTGATAAGTTGTTCCTCTGTCTGTGCAATAATAATGTTCTCAATGGAAATACACACAGGTCAGGAAATGAAAATTGGTCTTGTGCCTGAAAACATGCAGATGGGTCTAGATCTAACTCTCACTGGAGCTGATGGATAGAAAGCCTTCCAGTCATTTCTGGGAGAGATGGATCAGGCCCTGACTCCTTTTCATTAAATGTCCAGCTGATCTGGCAAACATGATGCAACATCATATATATTCTTATCTTTCCTATTTGGCAGGAAACCAAATAACTCATTCTACATATTTCTCAAGGAAAATTTTCTTTATAGAAAAAAAGGGCTTGTCTCTTGGCTCATGTCCTTACTTGGAGCAAACCCTGGGAATAATAGAATCTGGCATTCTGTCTTGCCTTTAATTCATTTTAAATATGAAGGTGGCAGAATAAGTTATTTAAATTGTTAATTCAGCTGGTAATTGAAACAAAAGAAAGACATATTTCTTTCCGAACCATTCTTTCAGTTAACAACTGAATTAAAGTAAGCTGGTTTGGAGAGGAAGATCTCTAGCATAAGGATGATACAGGTAAATATAAAGTAGAATTGTACATTGCTAATGAGTACTTCATATGTATATTTTAAAAATTTCAGCATAGCGAAACATGAAATAGTAATTCTTGCTACTAGTTGGTTCCTTACCCAGTTTTGCATAAAGCAAATCTCCCACAAGGCTTGAGAAATCCTTCAGCTGTTGGAGACCACCTCTTTATTAGACAAATCCTTGATAAGATTAACTAAAGAAAAATAAAAATTTCTTTTTTTATATGTTAGCTGTAACCCTGTAGAAGAAATGAATGTAAAATTGGTCATAAATATTTTTGAACTATCAATCAGAACTGTAGAAGAACTGTGAATAAAAATCACTAATATTGAGAAAGTATTTTTTAGCTTTTGTTGGACCTTACTATTAATGTGATAAAAACACCAGTTCTAATCCAGTATTTCTTAAATTGGCCTATGTCTTTCCAGCCTCTTTCATTGCT